TCCCTGAATTGGGCCACTTTTATTCTGAAAGCTGGGAAGGAGCTCAAGCCCCCTCCCTAACTAAATGGGCGACTACGCCCCCGAATCACATGCGAATCAACTTTTGTGTATTTTTTTTTAGAGTCCCGCTGGCCTCATCATTGGGACCATGCATTTTACCGTCTTGTGTTGGTGGTCATGGCCTGCCCCTGACTGCCCCTACCTGCCCCTGCCTGTGCCCCTGCCCCAGACCTGACCGTACATTTCGTGGGGGGCAAAACACATGCCGACCGTTCCTGACGCCAGATTGGGCGACTTCCACCCCTGCCCATCCGGTGGCGCTGTCGCTGCCAGCCGATGACGCGATGACGCGAATGTACATGGACGCGTTCGCGTCCATGTACTTTCTTTTTCTGATTTTGCATATAACCCAGTATGCCACAATCTGGCTATCTTATGTGGCAGCATCATGCAAGCTTCAAATATTTGGACCGGTATTTTTTTTAGCGAGCTTTGAAGTAATTTGGGCCTCACTTTTCTGGGGGAGGGGTGTGCCGAGCATTGGGGGAGGCGGTAATTATCCCCTAAAAGGCACGAGTGCCACGAAACTCCATCGATCTCAACATGTCTAAGTCTTACAGGAAAACGCATGCTCAGAGGCATTCACTCCGAAGCCTTGGACCACTTTTGTTTACAATCCGGATGTTTACGGGCCGCTGGGACGAGACCTACATAACTGTGCGTCACGTATGCCAAATAGGCAAGAACTTCAAATGCAGAGCATGTGCCCGATGGAGCTGAATGTCTCCAAGGACGTCCAGTGTACACAATGATGGTCGCAGATGTAAGACCCGCATTTTCTTTGTTAACGGCCGACAAATTTACACAGATGCGTGTCGAATGAGGTGTCTGTGTTTCCAAGTTCAGACTGCCACTGTCGGGATGAGACTGAAAGCCGTGCACAAAATAAGCGTAATTTCCGTTCGATACGAAGCTATTGTGCAGTATCTTAGAAGGGATGCATGGCGCAGCTAGCAGTGACGTCACTGTGGACCGTTGAGCCACGCTCCAGCTTTTTCGAATGCAGTTTCTTGCTACGGCTGTGTACAGCATGCCGCGTGCTACTTGTGACATTTTGAACAGCACCGGCAGGAATTGGGCAAATATCTTGGGCGCGGTCGGTCGTGGCGGCACGGGTGTGCTCCATTTATCACTAACCCCCAGTCGTGAATGCCCAAAAATGTAACTACAAGACCAGTAATAGCGATCGCCCGCGTTACGTTACGGCGGGAGCTCCCGGCTCAGACAGCTTCTCGTCGCCCGCGGACCGCTCACACCGACACGGCAGGCTCGTCTCGCCTCCGCTCAGGGGACGCAGGAGTGCACATGCAGCGAGGTCAGCCCGCACGCCTCATTCCTGCACAATGCCTTATTAGGTGACGTGCTTTGTTTTGCAGTGTCCGGGCGGTTTATCGCCCGAGGCGGATTAGCCTTGTTCTGGCAACGCCAGGGCGGGGACTGCGGCTGCGGCAGGCAGGCCTGTTATGCGCTGTGACAGCGGGGGCTGCAGCCTGCATCTGGCCCCTGTGTCCCTCCCACCCCCCCCCCTCATATCTGCGGGCCAGTGTACGGGTTTTAGTTACGCCCACTCTGTGCCTCAGGCACTCATCATGGCTGTTTATGTACAGCGCTCACGCCATCAGAATTTCGTTTGCTTCACCTAATTATAAATTGCATACCAAAGTGCATGCCCACAAACTTTCAATTTTTCCTTCCCCTTTCATTTTCAAGGTCATGATGCCTCTTTGTACCCGTAATTTTTGTACGCATTAGTATCTATGCCACCTGTGTGGCCCTGTGATCCGAACGTGTCCTGCCAGAATTCTAGTTCCCGGTCTCTGGTCTTCTACCACGGGTTTGTGATTTCTTGCTCATGATGAATTTTATCCCATGCCATATTTCTTATAGATTGCCTCTGATATCTGATCCACGATCCTTGACAATTGCACCGACTCGTGATCCTAACCCCGATCTGTCCATGGTCATTAGTCCCCGATATCTGGCCCGGACCTGATCCGCGATCTTCTGTCCGTTTTCCACTATCTGCCGTCCGGTC